TTAGAGTCTTTTTGAGGGTCTATACATGTCATTATATACTGAGACAAAGAAGCTTACAGTTAGAAAAGACAAAAAAAACAAAACAAGAAAAAACTGTAATTAAAAGTATTAACAAAGAAATTCTATGATGCCCTCCATCCCATAATGCCCTAAGCATTGCTTTTTTTTGCTTAATGGTTAATCCAGCCCTGCCTCTATATCTTAGCAAACAACGAATTTGAACAACCTTAATGTGGATATATAGTCAAATCAACACAAATCGAAAACCATTGTTTTTGCTGACCGGTGAAGATATCCACAGTGAAGACTGTGTAGACCCAATATGTCAGACTAAAGGCCAATTATTGATTTTATTTAAAATAATTGTTCAAATCGACCATTTCTGACTTGATGACTATTGATGTATCGTCTTGTTAATAACCATTGGCGTCTATTGATGTATCACTTTGTTAATTATAACCATTGATGTCTTTTCATGTATCGTTTTGTTAATGATAACCATTGCTAAAATTCATTGTGCCACAATCTCAAAAATTCATATAAAACGATGTAGATTCTTCTTGTTCTCAGTCCAGTTCTATAATGTATGTGGTTTTCTGGGTTTCTGTTCGTTTAAGTATGTGCAGTTCTCCTGTGCTTAGGCTATTAGACAAATAGAGTAGGTTTATACTAATTCTGTTTTTGTTGGTAGCACTGTCCCCACGTCATCAAAGTTGTTTAATTATCGGATGGGTTTAATAACGACAACCATTACATTAAAATAGTACATATTTATGACGTTTGAGATAGGACCACGGTGGCTCAGTGAGGTCATCAGGATTTTCCGGATTGGTTTCCCGTTGTCTGCGATGCAGGAGAGACGGAACGAAAATTCGACGTCCCATGCACATCAAAGAACCCTTGAAATAAGAGAAGATCGTAGCGCTGCTGTCCGGGCAAAATTTCCAACATAGCACACTGCGCTTTGTATGCCCATTTTCATTAGTACTGCTGTAGGAGAAAAGTAGGACGTAAAATATCATTTCATTTCATTTTGGTGTGCCTTTAAGTAACAAGTCAGATATGTTGACTACGTGTACACATTAGACCACTTAGTTCAAGTAAGAATTTGTAAAAAATGGACGATTTGTCTTCCTCTTTGCAATCTTTGATTATCGATATTTCAATTCGTTAAAATCACAAATGACACGCTGTTGTATTGACAATATAGATTATTTTTCAAGTTTCAATATCAAACATAAATTGGACAACTTTAAAATGTTTTTATTTACTTACGTCTTACGGACGTTTATTTGCGCTAAGTGCTAATAATGCGTTTGTATGTTGTTAATATGTTGTTAATATTTTTTATGGAAATAATATTAAAATGGCATGTGAAAATACTAATGTAGTAATCTATATATTGACCCCATAAGCAGTCACAGTTCCAAATCCCCGTACCCACTTACAATACCAAAAACCCAGAATACAATTGCCCCCTTTTCATCAACACGTATTAAATTTAAAACTATCTAAAATTTAAAAGTATCTAAACGAAAATACTTGCTTGCTGACTCTCAGCCTCAGTGGGACAGCAAACCAGTTAAAGCGGAAATTGCAAATTTTCTAAGAAAGTCAAAACGTAATTATTTCTATGTCTTTTGCTCAATAGGTTGTCAACTCACAATTATACGATCATAGGTGTCATTCTCACACTTAAGATTCATTTACACAGGAAATAATAACACAATTACCTCCCAATTACCTCCCTTGTTTTCTATTCTCCACCATGGAGTAGCGATATTCAAACGTTCGAAAATGAAAGGAAAATGATATTTTTGCCAATTTCTCAGCTGGCAATAGTGAATTATAGGATTAATAGGATTATTCTTTTACAAGGTAGGACTGTTTATGGATACCATCTATTTTCAGGCTTTATTTTAATAAATTTTAAAAATATGTTTTAAAAATTTGCAATTTCCGCTTTAAGGCTTCTGGGGATCGACTGATTCGGGCTGGTATCAGATTTTCTCTGATTTTGATTTCGATTTGAAAAAGTTCGCAGTTTGCAACCATTGAAAATGACAATTCCTCATTTCGTATTGAAATTGTCAGGGGCTGAGGAATACGTGACATGGCGAGAATGCACAGCTTTTGGAATACAGAGACCAATACGTTAACCGTTCCCATTAACCCTATTAATATTTATTCTGTCATAAGTAACTTCCATGGCCATGCTTAAAGTAAACTTTTTATACAGCTGTTGACTTGTTAAACTGTTAGTAAAATTACACGAACTTACTACGTGAAATAATACAAATTGCCTTGTTAAAACTATCAATTTAATTCGTTTATTGGATAAGTTAATTGCTTGTTTCTACTTTTGATTACCAATAAACTAGATTGAAGGAATAACCAAGCTGTCGTTTTAATTATAGCGCGTCAGCGCTGTATCATAAGGTCGGTCATTGAGTCCATCTGACGTGATTTCGATTCCCCGGTTGTACGTGACAAGGAGTAGGGTCGCCTGTCCAACCCTGTGGGTTTTCTCCGGGTCCTCCGATTTCCTCCTACTGCTAAAGTCCCCTACGCGCCAGCGAATTATTGAAATAAAATTGAACCATATGTTAGTCCCTAAATGACCTAGTTTGTATAGAGTGGACGTTAAACACCCCCCTCTCTCTCTCACACCCTCTCTCTCTATTGGAGTGTGAGATTTGGTAAACTCGTTGTGAGAGCTGAAATTTGGAAAAGTAACCGCCTGTTGAATATGGCGCTGTATTCTGTCTCAACAAACACTATAGTTATTGTGGTACCGTCAGTAGAATTAGCCTTAATTAGGTCGCCAAAATATGAATTCGGGAACACTTTGTTGTTATTTTTCTGCATAGCACCCGACAAATTCGAGAAACGGTTTAGAATTGGCAATTTTGGCTGTAAAAATGGGTCTGCCAGGTTTGCGGATAAGTCTTGCTAATGTTGTCTGGGACACCACCCTCGGTGGAAGCAGATGCGAAGCCCCACTAACGAACAAAACACGGTAATAACAACAGTATTCATTTGGGTCCTTATAATACCTATATTATGATAAACCAGAAAGAATCATTTGGATACTTGTTCATAGGTGACGTAATATAGAACGTAATCAAGAGCTTGAATCGAAATGTGGACTCAGTGATGAAAGCTATTTCTCTAAATCGTCACGATTGGTGACGGAATTAAATAAAAGGGAATGATTTGACGTCAAACATAAATTGTGAAGTCACTATCTATCAGTACACTACATGACTGAATCCTATATCTTTAGGGTTAATCTCAAAATGACCGAATATAGAGTTGACGATACGTTAAGTTTTTGTCATCGGTTTAACGGTTGTGGATCGTATAAGGAAACAACTTGGATAACAACATGTTGCTAGAAGACAGTTTGTAAGATTAACTCGCATGTGCTTGTTGTAGTCGGTGAAGTCGATAGTAGTTTGCTTCCGGCAACTGAGATCGCAGTTGTTTGTAACAGTTTAATTTCACTGAGCTCACGGATTGACCTTCCACTTTATGTGTGCAACGCCTAAATGATTTCTAAAACTAACAAATTTACACAAATTAAAGGGGTCATATCAGCTGATGTTTTCTTTCATGTCCAATTGTCGCATACTCTCAAGACCAGGAAAGTCTACCTTGATAGTACGAAAAATCGAGTACACATTGGGGTGCACGAAACGAACCCGTTACAGTCGTAAAACGCTGCTGTCTACCCCCGTATTGTACACGTGGGCATAAAATTCAGAGTATCGAGGAGACTTTAACCTTCATTTCATCTTTTTCTTATGAAATAACACGAGACGTTTTTGTAGATCAACAGTTAAATATCTCAGCTAATTTGAAGTGCTCAACACTTTATCATTTAATATCCCTATTCGTATTAAATACGTGACTGTAAAATAGAAAAATTACCATAGCAAACTCCATGACTAAAGTATTCTTTTCCTTTCGAAAACCCTTAATTTAGATTATGAACAAATTTTGTATAGGTATCTACAATTAATTCAGCTGATATTAATTCAAGCCTAGTTCCCCGTTGTCTCTGCCACAGCACGCAGTGACTCACAAGAAGTCATTTCTAGTCATCGGATGGGACGAAAAACCCAGGCCTCAAGTACTCTTTAGCGCACACGTAAATAAACCCTGGCAGATGTAATTCGATGAAAAATAAACTTATACATATAGACAGTACATTCTGCTGCTTATTTATTTTTTATTTATTTACAACGAACTAAGAGAACTCTCAAAACCCTGGTTTAGTACTTATTAGCCATAACATCGATATTTAATATTGTTTCATTTGCTTATTGCGTGGCTTGGGGCGCAGTGTCTTAGTGAGTAAAACGTTCGCTCGCTAACATGGAATCCCCTATTCCATCCCTGTGTTGGTCAAGAAAATTGCGTGGTTGCACACGGCTTAAAGGGATGTTGCCAGATATATCAACAGCTTACCATAGAAGCAGAAGCTGACGTTGCGGGACAATTAGAAGGAATATGAAAGAGCTTTTATTCCTATCACTCTACACCCCTGCTTTGTTTAGTACTTTGTGCATTTTACTTTTAACATGTTTTCGTTATTCCAACCAGAGCCCATCATCACCCGTTGGAGGGGGGAAAGTATTTTATTTCATCATTCATTCATTTATCTTAATATCAACAAATCCGACAATATTTATTTATCTTATTATTTTTACGTTATAGATTTTTACATTTAAAGATCACTGGTAACACATGTCCAATTGTTTAAATAAACAAAGTTTTTAGCGCAATATCCACCATTAAGTTATCAGTTTGGCGCAAAGAATGTGTTCTTATATGTAATTATCAGAAACACTGTTAAATTAACGCTATTTTAATAGTGAGTGATTGTCACACCTGAACCACCTTTACTAACCAATTATTATATAAGTATATAATGATGTATTTTTCTTTATATAATATATTCTAGGTTTATATTATATACCATGGTCTACAGCACGCGTGAAATGCGTAAAACAGATCACCGTCGTCTGCTTGTATCCAGATGGCGCGAAAACAGACATATGGCTGTAGCGTATATCATAACTTTATCTACATACTAACAAGTTAAAGCTAGAGGAACAACACGTGCACTGAATAACTCCGATGCAGTTGAGGACATTTTAGAAGACCAATGAAGATTAGCATAATTCCTAAGCATGAATACGTATATCTCGCTTTCGTCTGCTGGATTGTGGATTTTCACCTGTGTTTTGGTGAAGTGTTTACCGCCATTTGTAAATTACGCGAACTCCCCGCCAAAGAACAAGCCTTGATTGCAACTTTTGACAGATTTTTAAAAGACCAAAAAGAGAACTATGCAATCAACGAACTAAAAGAGTAAGTTAAAATCAATTTATTTCATTTACCCCAAAACGTAAACTATCCCAAAACGTAAGATGAATAAATTTATAATCAAGAATATGGGAAGTAAGGAGCACACATTTGATTAATAGTTAAATACGTAAAACTTTATTTAAAAATTAGGATCAATAAATTTGTAGTCAAGAATTTTGGAAACAAGCTCATGGCTAAGAAGCACACATTTAATTGAATACGCGAACTTTTATATAAAATCAGAGAGAGAGAGAGAAATGGGGTTTAACGTCCACTCGACACAAACTAGGTCATTTCGGGACTAACATATGGTTTAATTTTATTTCAATAATTCGCTTGCGCGTAGAGGTCTTTAGCAGTGGGCGGAAACCGGGGGACCCGGAGAAAACCCACGAGGTTGGAAGGCGACTATTTAAAATCAAGATTAATAAAGAATGTTTAAGTGAACTTTGATTACAAATTACTTTTCCCCATCTCTCTGCAAAGCCAATGATGCCCAGGAGCCTTTTATATTTTTTTGTGTTAAATTGAGTTATAAATAGGAAATCTTGTTATATATTATGCGTGTGAGTATAAATTTGGCTAGGCTCATTAAATCACAAGATTTGTTTTATATTCAAGAAAATATGACATATTGGTCATAAATATGAATGAGGTAGTTTTAACACGTACATTATGATTTATAAGGAGATCCAAGATAATAATCCAATGACCAGTTATGTGACATTGATATTACCAGCAGAAATCAAAATGGCGGGGAGGGGTGGCCCTTTTAAATGCGTGCTTTTTAGATGATTGAATAAAGTATGCTGTTTCGACCCTAGACTTATTTAACCACCTGTTTAACCCCGTGGGTTTATCCGGTTTATTGAAATAAAACTACACCATGTGTTAGTCCTGAAGTAACCTTGCTTGCGTAAAGATGAATAATATCTCATACTCCTCTGATTTCTTAGCAACAGACAAACAGTCGATAAATATGAAAAAAAAAACACTACAGGGCTTTGAATTATTTATTTATCGGCCTATGTTAATATTTTTTTCAACAACAACAGGTTTTGAGTTTGAAAACAACTGTACGTCAATTTGATAAACTAAGGTGTGAGCTGTACTTCATAATTAATGTCAAAGTTTCATGTCGCGAGTTCGAGCCCACGTATGTACGCGACATTAAGTTGAGTCGCTTACCTGAGTGTTCTATAAGTTCTTTGGTTTTCTCCCATCGCTAAAATCCCCAACGCTCACCACAGATAAAAATGACCTAGAAACTCAAAAGACAAACACGCGGACATGGCACAGACATCGTAATTGTTAATAAAAAGGATTACCAAATCAAGTGAACGTCAAACCCCAAAATGATCCTGATGTTTTGAGTAGCCCCCTATTTTAATATTGACCAAATTGCTCGAAGCTTCATTGCGAAGCAGCATAATATTAAATATTTAATAGACTTGGAAACGTATTAAATCTTTATGTTTATCCCTTCATTGATGGGATAACTATGATGTAAAATGATATTAGAGTTAATTTGCCATGAATACAAAGCTGATGAGAATATTAAAATGTCTAAATAGTAGCGATAAAATATAGCTATAAATATCCATTTTCGTTCGGTTATGATATCAAGACTACAAAACAGGTATAAACAAAGGCAAACAAAGTGTTAAAAATTATTAATTTAGTGGGTTTACATTAGGCTTAATTGTCACTCGTTACTCACTTCATGCTTAAACGTACTAATATATTTTAAAAGCCTTCGTTTGTTCCTAAATAATTTCAAACGATCGCTTCAGAGCAAAATTTCTCTGGTTGATTGGTTTGCAGTGGTTTGGATGATGACAAAAATCTGACTAAAATATTTGAAAATCACGTCACTTCCTATGATTTTGAAGATTTTTAATTGGTTTGATATAATAATTGTTTGGATCTGGAATGACCTGGGTTAAAATGTGGGCCCGTGTTTATCTTCTATCCTGTAGCCCTTGACTTCAGAAACCGGATCTGATAACATGGCTACAGTTGGCTACCGGTGTCGTGGATGAAAGAGGGCATGACTACGCTTTATAGAACACAAAAATGTCGGTTTGGCCCTTATAACCCATCTTGTTCTTCTTCTTGGGAGTTTCTCTCTTGAAGTATAAAACTTGATATGTTTTTTCCTTTTGATATGACGCCACAATGCCTAAAAGGCTGCGATGACGCCTTGATCGGTTTATGGTCTATATTGTACCAACCAGATCTATTTTTCGTTTCGTTTTTTATACTTTCGATGGCCGGCACTACATGAAGATCTGACCAGTTTACTTTAAGGTCGCGTCAGAGGTCGTGCGACCGGCTTTTGACCCTATGACGTCAGACATTGATTACTCAATCAGCGTTGATGTTTCTAGTGGTTTAGCCACAGTTCCGTGCCTGGCACGCCAAGAAGTCGCCGTAACATATGGTTTCATTGGCTAATCCCTCACGCCATCCAGAATGCCTGTTTTATAACAAGTCTTCCAGATCCTACTGTAGTAAAGACAAATAAAACGAAATTTTGAACTACAATAAACGAAACGAAATAGGATCTGTGTTTTAATCAGATTGATATGGTACGCTCGTACTTGATGTACTTTTGCAACCTTATTTTAAAGGTCATTTGAATTACCTATTTTTACAGGTTTGTTGAGAAAATGCGAGAAGAGAATAGAAAGGTTTTGAACGACAGCCATTATGTAGAAAATCCTATAAACAGTTTCCAGTTATTATATAGAACCGTTCATATATGGGGCGAAAAACTGAGCCAATACCTACATTATCCTACATATAATAATAAATCTCTTCCATGTAAGTCATCATATATCATTCAGAAAACTGACGATTTCCTTAGTGTTTAAATGGTGTTCTTCGTTCTGTAAAATGCGTAACTGTAATGTATCTAGGAGCCGTGGTGATTCGGTGCGTACTAAACAGTCTCTCGTTGTCAGTGACGTAGGATGAAGCGCTTGGCAAGGAGCAGAGTTTAGTCGTTCTGAGGCCCCATCTACATCTACACGTTGAGGGTACATAAAAGAACCACTTACAGTTGCAAATCCCCCACCCTCCCATAGCACATTGTGTGTGGTGTATGCCCATCTTCTTTGGCCCGGTAAGGACGTTAAGCCCCATTTCATTCATTCGTAACGACAAAGCTGTGTAGCTGAATTCAAACCATGTTAAAGTGATAGTCCGCCTGTTACTATTTTCCAAGAATAACAATAAGAGCTACTGTACTCATCCTTCAAGAACCCAGCCCGATCTTAAAACTTAGGTTGCCAGTCGACGAATATACACTCACGTCAGGAAATCCCATAAGCTGTCCTTAATTGTTGTTCCTCGTGTTTGTATATGTTTTATAGGTTACTTGGGCATTTACATGACCCGAAAAGTTTTCAATGGGCAAAAGGCCACGAAGCAATTATTGGAAGTCATTACATGCAGATTATATATTCATTGTATATTGTATCTTATTCTATTTTCAGATTTTATGAATTCAGTATTTAACAACACCCAGCAGATGTCTTCTTGGCCCAAACAATTTGATCTTCGTGGTGCTAGCATGGCTTTAGTACGATTACGATATATATACAATCTAGATATCGAGGATATTCGTCATGGACGTCTTCCAACCAGTCAAACACATGGTCTCAGTGGTAATGATTTACTCACCATAGGTCAAACAGCAACACAGTTCGATAATCAGGCAGAAGCGATACTCTGGTTGACAGAATCTATTGCTGTTCTTTCCAAAGACCCCCAAAATAATGAACTGGTTATTCGTGCCTACAGATCATTGGCTGATATTTTTGTAAGAGTAAGTAATTAATTGTTTTAACGCAAATTTGAAATAAGATTGGACCATCGCGCCCCCGTCTTCATTGGACCAGGAGGAGCAGAACAGTAGGATGGTAAACTCCATTTAATTTCATTTCGTTTTAGCGTGGTCATGTCATCTCATAATAGCCACAGGAGCTTAAAAAATATCTCAAAAGTCAAAAATATGTACGAGTTCAAATCTTAGAATTGTTATTATGTTATTCCGGAAAAATCAATTAATAGCAGAATTATCATTGCTAAGTCTAAGTAATCAGTCTGCCAATCAATCAATCAGAATATTATATTATTGTATTTGTAAGCTTATGTGAATTCTTGTTTGTTCTCGTCAAATACACGTACATGTATGTTTATTGCTCCGTCACATGGCGCTAAATTAGATTAATACATGTGGGAATCGCACCGTAATATGACTTTTGTTGAATATTTTTATTGCTTTTGTCAGGTGATACATGTAAATGGAGCCACGTTAGTTCAGCGAGTAAGACGTAGGCTCACTAACCTTGAGGTTCCGTGCTCGATCCCTGTGTTGACCAAGAAAGCTCATAGGTATTTTACCGGTCTAGCTGGACGGGGAGCCAGGCAAGGTCGGGTGTACACATTAGTGTACAGATACAAACAAAATCACTTGACAATTGGAATTAGATATAATAAGACCGTAGCGCCGCTCTCCAGGGAAATTTTCCAAAATAGCGCACTGTATGGCGTGTGCCAGTTGAAGCAGAACATCACTTCATTTCATTTACCGTGATATATGTTTATTTTTCAGTTCAATGCTCCACATATGGCACTAGATATGATGAAAACAGCTTTACACATAGGTATTGTTCTCATTCTATTTTCGTGGTAGACCGTTAGTACCTCAATTTAATGCTTGACACTCGGTAGTCTACGGCAATCTCCGTCATCCCAATTTTGACACTGGGATTTTATTACTATTTCCGGAAAACTGCGGTCGATATGGGTCCTTTGTATACCATGTAAAAAATGACCATTGCAGAGGTCAACATGGGTTCCCTCCTATGGCCGCCTTCATTAACCAATTGGATGCAGAAAAGTAGGACGTTAAACCCTATTTCATTCATTCTGTCCTTCCCATGATCTCAAGGAACTTCATGTTCCCTCATTAAGGTCGTGGTTGGCTAGGTGAAGGTAACCATACTTGTCTATGGCGGATGTGAAAAAACGGAGACCAGTGTTTAAATCGGTTGTCCCCAGGGACCCGGAAGCCGATGGTCTTTAGAGGGCCCTTTTTGAACAAGTGGTGTGGTGGCATATGTTGGCTTTAAAATGATAAATAATTGGTTCTGATTCGAGGCACGAGGTAAAACTATAAAACTCCCACGGCCCCCTGGCCGTGTCGGACCACGACACTGGTGACAAGCAAACGACCATCCCCATCCCCAGCTGGGCACGATTTAAGATGCCCTTATGCTTCCTGCGCCCCTGACAGTGCCCCTATTGATTTATCAATACCATAAATATGTCATCAGTATACTGTGATATATTGATTTACACGTAGCTTTAACTTTTAATCAATTATGTAAATCCGATAATATGAAATTGGTGTTTTATATGCATGGATTAAACTATAGGTAACGGATATCAACATTAGTCCGTTCCCTTTAAATGAATTTAACAAAAATAATGATTTTGTAATATACACATTTATAACTACTTCCCGTACTGTCAGCAATATATCACAAATTTATTTTTGATAATAGGCTATTAGTGAACATTGGGGGATCATATTTCAACAACACATGTCGTCTGTCCCAGATCATTTTGTTATCACCGCCATATTTTTGTTATCAATATCCATAAGTGCCATTAATGATCTACGGCTTACAAGCCCCGAGCTATCACAGACCCGGTCAAGCAGGAACTTGAAACACATTCCCCGGTTGATGCAGAATTGTGTAGGCTTTGCGTATAAGACAAATTTCAAGCCATGGCCACGGTGTTAAAAATCAGTGGGGTGCCATTAAAAACTATAAGTGCTGGTGGTGTACAATTTACCCCACAACTTGGCTTTTATGGAACCAGGAACTACATGTAGTTGGTAATCTTGTTTTCGTTATTTTTGTCAAATGAAATGAAATAGGGTTTAACGTCCTACTGTTCTACCCCTACTGGGCTAATGAAGACGGGCATACGCCATGCAGTGTGATATGAGGGGAATGTTGCGCGGACACCGGCTCTATGACCTGCTCTTCTTTCGATTTCCAATTGTCAGGAGGGGTTATTTTACGTGCACGTCAACGTGTGCATTGGACGTCGGTTCTTCGTCCCATCCGAACGACTAGACGCTGTCCTTGCAACGCTGAAGATGGGAAGCTACGCTGGAAAAGCCCGGATTTCCCACGCGCAGACAAAGACGGGTATGTTTAAGAACTTGTAAAAGCTTCTTTTGTTAATCTCGTCGTATCCATTTATTCGTTAGTAGTAACTTGCATTCATTTATTTTTCTCTTAAAGATCCAAATAATAGTGGCGTCAAGCGAGATATGGCGATATATAATGATGTCATGACCGATTATGTAAAACATTTACGGCCCTTTTTAACTATCCTTGAAATAACCAATCTAAAACGGGATGCCCCAATATTCACCCCGAATTATGCCGAATTATGCCGAGGAGAAATAAAGGTATGTATATGATTCTATAATTGAGTTCGCTGTCCGTCCGTCTGTCTGTCTCTCAGATATCTGGGAAAACCATAACTGTTTCTAATCGAGGTAGAATGTATAAACGTGGTGTAGATATTGTTTATGTGGATATCTTGACTGGGTTGGATGGTGAACATTTACTACTTAGGCCAAGCTACTGTCTACCCGTCTGTCTGTTTGTCACGTCTTTGGGAACGTATTAACTCTGCTTTTGATTGAGGTAGAATATTCGAACTTGGTGTAGATGTTCTTTAAGTGGATGTCTTGACCAAGGTCGATGGTGCGCATTTTCTCTTTGGAGCTTAAAAGGAGATGTCCGTCTGTCTGTCCTCCCAACCATTTGGAAGACAATAAGTCTGAATCTAATTGAGGTATAACCTGTGTTCTCAACCTCTGGGACTCGACCCCAGCTGGGGTCGCGGAGTACTTTTCGTGGGGTCATGGCAGACTAGTCTGAAATTTTTAAAACTAGGCTATGTTTTGACGTAAAGCATACAAATATCTGATCTATACTAGACCTCTTGCCACATTGCCATCGTCTTCCTCTCTCACGCTCACGATTTGTTTCCCCAGTCTCTCATTACAACATGTTGATCAATAAATATTGATGATGTTTCATAGTAAAAGATGACTTTGTTCTTCGACGGAGTCGCGATCAGATGATGGTTTATGGAATGGGGTCGCAAATAAAAAAAAGTGGGAACCATAGGTAGAAGGTACACATTTAGTGTAGAGAGAGAGAGAAATGGGGTTTAACGTCCACTCGACACAAACCAGGTCATTTCGGGACTAACATATGTTTTTTTAAAAATTTTATTTCAATAATTCGCTTGCGCGTAGGGGTCTTTAGCTATGGGAGAAAACCGGAGGACCCGGAGAATACCCACGAGGTTGGACAGGCGACCCTACTCATTTAGTGTAGATGTTCATTAGGTAAATGTCTATATCCACGCCGTTGGATGGTGAACATTTTCTACTTAAACAGCAACCACCAATTTGATTTGTCGATGCCTTTTAAACATGTGAAGGCCCGTTTTCCATGTACGGGTTTTCCACCGGTTACATGGAAACGGTCCTTTTACATTTGCATAAGACCCACTTTTTCGCCGGCGAAAACACGCGCGGAAACACCGCGAAAAGGCCTACTTGGAAACTGTCGGTAGACTGGTTTAGCGGGCCTGTCGTTTACCTTGTCAGTCTTATTTTTTTATTATTATTATTTATGTTTAAATGGTTATAACTTGTTAAATACAACATGACCGTTTATTTAATGACTATAAATGTAAGAAACTAAGTTGCGGCATGCAATTTATAAATATACACGGTGAACAGTCCATATGCTGATTACACTATTTTGCTTTATTACACTATTTTGCCTATACCGTTTTTTTAGGACTTCGAATTTTGTCTAATGGTTTGGATTGTTCGTACTAGGTTTTATTTTATTTTATGGTATAATTGTATAATTGTTTGGAGGCATTTATGGTGGGGCATTCTAACTTTTTAAATTTTTTTTTATCCGAAATCTATTTATGTTTTCACAGACACCAGAAGAGTTGTCCCAGTTGTCATGCAGATTCCGCGAAACTCAGATACCATTTATATTTGCCAAAGAGGAAGAAGTCAACTCTGATCCAGCCATTTTGGTGTTCCATGACGTCATAAGTGATAGTGAAATAGAACAGTTACAAAAGATTGCCCATGCTTCGGTGAGTTGTTTATGTGTATCAGTAAACATCATTGTCCTGTAACATCTTTACCATTGACTGCATTAGCCGCCGTTTGTCTGCAACGGATATAGAAGGGGGCCACGGTAACAGCGATAAGATGCTTGCTCACTTACCAGGAGGTTAGGCCGATAAAACTTCCAGTGGGGTTTTCCCTTGTCAGAGAACCCTTGACAGTTGGAATTCAATTGCTGTCCGGGTAACATGTGATTCAGCTCTTTGTATTATAAATCCGCATAAAGAACAATGGGTGTTCATTGAACTTAATGCCAAGCTAGTAAAAACATATACATGAAAAATCCATATTCAATGTTTAATAATTTACCGTGATATTTGATTTCTGCTGTTGGTATTGAGTTATTGTGCAAGCGCATTAAAGGGACATTTCGTCAAGACCTATACCCAGGACTTTCTGCCTTTATAACACAAAAAGAAAACCGGAGAAAAACCACAAGGTTGAGCTTTGGCTCGAAACCATTTCTCTTGACTCAGTGACAAACCTTATGATCTAAATCGCACCCGTTAGACCAGTCGACTCCCACCCCAACCCCGTATGCCACCTCTCCCCCACCCCAATTCATGAAATAACCGGGTACGTTACCCAAACCTCGAACACCCACACAGATCATTATGGCTGACCATTTTCACACCATCTATATCACTTTTGAATTCTTCAAAACAAATTTGACACAGACACACACTCTCTACGCCTTGACGGGTCATTCAATACGTTCTATTCAAGATAAAATTGACCAAGAAATGCGTAAATTTAAAGAAGCTAAATCGCTAATATTTGGGACCTAGAAATTGACAAAAATGGGTCGCAACGCATATAATAATGTAATATGAATGTATATAAACTGATTTACATTCAATCTTTTCTGTTTTTACTGTAATTTCTAATCAGTTATGTTCGGCGAAATACGCCAGAAGTCTCATGTGAATGGCAATCTTTAGCGTCTGGTTTTTCCAGTCTACACCGATGGTATTTATTGCGCATGCTCTACAGATAAGAATATTGCGTCACCATTTGACATGACTTGTGGAATATGTCTAGCCCTGTTCTTTGAGTCCCTTGTTCCAATCCAAATGGCGATGAAACGCATTATGGTACACGATTCGTGTACCAATGGTAAAATGTTTATTTTGTCTTGAATATTGGATATCAGAAGCCCATCTTTTCCTTGTAAGATCACAAGACCAATGTTGATTTGAATTGACAAAAAATTCGTGTTTTCAATGTCGAAGATTTTTGATGATATTGAGTTAGAGACTTAGCTACTTTAAGGTACTGTGTGTTGAATCCAAACACACATATCAAAACTTGACGTAATGTCTCTCTGTAGGCTTTTATCATGAGTTGTGCATAAAGCAGTGATCAATTCATCCGTATTTCTAATATTTCACAACAATGAATTAGATCTAGAATGTATAATAACCATTTAATCCCATAACTTAGAAAAAAGAGACTCAATTCAACATAAGAATAACACTTTCTGAATAGATATTAATGTAACAATGTGTGATTTCCATTTTGTCAAGATTTCGTCCATTGATATATTTATCAACAGAGCTAACGTCATCAGTCGGAATGGCAGCCTTTCGTTGTATATCTTGGATCTTGTATAGTATAGAAATATGAAACCATGAAAATCAAAAAAAATCTTAACTTTAATTACGTTTGTTTTAACTATAAGGCAATATTTTGTTTTATATATATTAATAAGTGCAAGAGAACCGCACTACACACAAAACAAAATCGACAAGACAAACCCGTGGACAAAACAAACCAGATACTGCAAGAAATGCACAACAAATATTAATTCAAATGAAGCGTCCACTGCGCTGTACAGTCCCGGGCCTGTACAGCTATTTATGTAATTATTTTCTGTATAAGTATATATCGTTTGTATTTCTTTCGTAATTTATTATTCGTTAATATTAACATTTTCTGTATAATATATGAATTCTCGTTTTCTATAAATAGATGAGACGATCGACTGTTGTAGAAAGAGATAGCTCAATAAAGGAAACTGAGGTTAGAATCAGTAACAAGTAGGTTCATATTATATTTTTTTTATTTCACATAAAAAACACACCCCATGTACATCGGGGCAGTGTGAAGTTGAATCATTTTTCGTTATTTCGTTATTCATCAATAACGAATAACAAATTCGTTATTCAACGTGTTATTTGTGATTCAAGTATGAAGCTAGACATTACTAGAATGATGGATGCTGATGGATGCCAAGTACCCCCCAGTAGCATTAAACACAGCAAAACGATTTCTAGCTGAAAAACAATCCAGATTGTTATTCAAGCAGCGAATAACGACAAGCAGCGAATAACGAGCTGTTTGTTATTCGTTTTTAACATCGTTATATGAAGGCGTTCAGGTATCTTTAATGAGGATATTTCAGGATTTAATTAAAAGCGATAACTAGACAACAATAGAATAATTGATTGCAAAGTATCCCATGGCAGTATAAAACGTATAGTCGGTAAATAAACCAGATTGTTATTCAAGCGGTGAATAACGAATAACGAGGTGGCCTGCCTCGTAAGGACAAGCTGCCTCGTTATTCAACTTGTTATTCAGGACAGCAAAACGAGTTCTAGGCGGAAAACAATCCCCATTGTTATTCAAGCAGCGAATAACGAGCTGCCTTTTAATCGTTTTTCGCCTCGTTATTCCGGATTCACATATTAAGGTGTTCAGGTATCTTTAATGAGAATTTAATTTAAAACGATCACTAGTGGGAGGAAACCGGAGGACCCGGAGAAAACCCACGAGGTTGGACAGGCGACCCCAATCCTTGTCACGTACCACCGGGGAATGGAATTGACAAAGAGAATCGCCCCAAGAAATACAAGTTGACTAGTTCCTTGTTCAATAAAGTCATGTCAGTACTTTATATGTAGAGAAGATCTGACACGATTAGTGCCACGTATGTGCAGTTTTAATGATCAATTCTATTTTTTTACTTTGAGCAGTGCATGGATTTATGATTCTGAATCTGTAGCTGATAAATTATCTAGACGAATTGAGATGATAACAGGATTGAGCGCACTAAACAGAAACTACGATACTCATGCTGAACCGTATCAGGTAACTATGGACCAGCTATTCGTCCACTCTTACAATCCAGTTTTGTTTCCGGAACATTTGAAAACATGCAATGGAAAGTATTTTTGACAACCACCATGTTCACCCTTTAATATCCAAACAAAAATATTTACTGAGCATTTTAGGATTATTTTCGATGTGACGGATGGGACATTTCTAGACCACCGTTTTACGTAACCTTGGTACCAGCACACTGATCTAGCTCAATTACTAAAATTTAGTTTAACTGACAAGCCTATGTTAAAATAAAATCATTTATGTGGATTTAGGTAAAATAGCTATGTTTTCATATTTGTCATTATGCCACAGCAGCACCATAAACACTGTGACAGATGGGACATTAAATATAATGCAACAAATTAATTATTCAGAATAAGAATTTAATGCCGACCTTCCGTTCTAGAGTTATCCTGTGTTTGCAAAAGCTTTCTAAACACGATAAAGGCTAAAGTATTTGTTAGACTTTTTTCTAATAATTGGGTGTGGAGTATCGGTTCATGGGAGGACAAAACTTGTCCATTTTCAGCATTACACAACCTTACATTCTGGAGTTACCCCCACCCCTTCCGAAACTCGATAGAGGCTACCGTTTTGAACAGATTCCATTTCAAATTTGGTTTGACGCATTTGTGTAATGGGAGGAATAATCCCATCTATATTCAGTATTCCGTGTTATGGTATCTGTTCCAGAGTTACCTCCCCTGCTGGAAAACCTTAATTGCTGAAAATGTTGTGAACGCGATAGAGGCTCCATTTTAACATAATTTTGTCAAGTTTCGTGTGAAGCATTGGGGTAATCAATGGACTAATCTTATTTTCAGCATTCTAGAACTTTCCGTTCAATATACAATTAATATTGTCAATAAAATGTTGTACTGCTATGATTTTTATTACTCTGGCCTTCAGAAGCAACATTATTGCTTAGTTTGTTTAGTGTGTAGCCTGTAGGTATTTGGATTTCAGCACTCAGCTCACTGTGACGGATGAGACGAAAACTCTGTGATGGATGGGACAGTGGGGGATCTGTTTATTCATTTCAAAATCAAATCAAGGAAAATACAACCATATATTTACTTTATAGCTTATATATAGAAGATATTAATATTATAATTTATTTGTATATATATATCAGAAATACTTTTTAAAAGAAAAATTCATTAAAATTGTGACAGATGTGACAAAGATAATTGCTATTTTGTGGTGCCGTTTGTGGAGTACATAGAGTAAAAACCAAAATCAAGTGTTTTTGTCCTTAATTTCATCACATTGAATTAGCTATTAATAATGAAATAACAGGTCTTTGAATAGTTATATTTATTCTTTTCAAGGCGGGAAAAGAAGGGAAAACATATTTTCAAAACCGTCCTACAGAATTTTAATTTTTTTTGTTAAATTAAACTAGGATATATGCTTACTAATTAAAACCAGAAAATCAGAAAAATTTGAAAGTTCTACAAACGTGGGAAGTTAAGTTGGAATTACCCATAAACCGGTCAAATATCATAATGAAACTTGGTACACATATCAACCTATTATAGTAGTTTATTAATTAAAAATTTGTGTGTTTTCACCGAAATGAATTTGACTTATTTCTTGGCCGCTGGATGCTGATGACCGTGTCTTCTTATTCTTTATTGACAAACAGAAAATAAATACAAGTCGACATGTAAGTGATATATATGTGACTTAGATTCAGTATTTGTAAATTCTGTATTCCGCATCATATTAGTGGAGTTGCCCCATTTGACTGAAACATTGTGAATTTTTAAAAAGAGATTTCATTTCAAATTTGCTGGAGGAGAAGGAATCGTGTTGAGTCAGTTAGTTGTGCTGATATTACACGTTCACTGTAACCTGTAAACGCTCTGGAGACGACCTTACATCACAACAGTTTGACGATATTACATAAGAACTCTCCAAAAACAGTGTGGCGACCTTACATCAAAACTCTTTGACGATCTTATATCACAGCCATATGACGTCCTTTAACCACGACAATGCGGCGACCTTACATCACAACTCAACTCTCTGCCGATCGTACATCACAGTCATGAGACGATCTTACACGGCAACACTGCTGTGGCCTTGCTTCTTGTCATAAAGCTGCTGATGGGCACATATTCGTTGCCCGACAAAGCTATATTCTACCTAATAACGTTGCTAGATTAAGAGTTTAGCAAATGACGATTTTTAAATGAAGTTAACAAGTATAATACTATTGTTATTGTTTATTTTTTTGCAGATTGTTAACTATGGTTTAGGTGGAATGTACGACCCTCACTTTGACAGTTTGGTGAGCAGACCTTTCATAATAGTAGAGTTATTAATGGAACAGAAACTTTTAATTTCTGGTGCAGTAAGGGACCGGTGTCGAAAACCCTAGGTCCACCCGTGTACTCGGTGACGTGCACGTAAAATAACCTTTGGGAGTTGTCAAAATTCTACACTTATAGCAGTCCGTCTATTCATTAGCCCGGTTGGTGCAGAACTGTGGAACGTTAAACCCCATTCCATTTCATTTCATTTCGTGTCGTTTCGTTTCGTTTCGTTTCGTTTCGTTTCATTTCCTTTCATTTGCACGTTGTAATGGGGTCAACCGAGAAGCTTTAAGTTGAACAACAGCTGACATTGGTGATCAATATGATTACTTTGTACAGACCAATCACCGCCTGTGTTAGTCTAGTTATTTTCGTTGTAGAATACGTATATTTATCTTTTTTATCAGGCGAAAGATGGCCAACCAAAATCAGAGGACGAAGCTTATAGAAATTCTGGAGAAAGAACAGCAACCTGGATGTTTTATGTAAGATCCAACTTTATATATTATTCATTTAGCCTCCTCTGAGTAGTCAGTGGTATAACGCGTGTCATTGAGTGGCGTGGTTTTAATACCAAGCATGAACGCGACAAGAAATAGGGTCGTCAGCCCAACGTCTTCGTTTTTCTCATGGTCCCCCGATTTCATCGAACTATGGAAATAATATGTTAGTTTCGAAATGACCTAGTATATGTCAAGTGGACGTTAAACCCCGTGTCTGGCTCTCTTCGTTTTCGGGATTTCATTTCCTGAACTTCCGATTCCTCCGATTTCATCGAACTGTGGAAATGATATGTTAGTTCCAAAATGACCTAGTTTATATCAAGTGGACGTTAAAACCCATTTCTGTCTCTTCCCTCTTCGAAATTCAGAGTTAAGTTCCTGAACTTCCAATCGAGTAGAATGTTTCAATGGTGTTATCTCCCTTTATATGGTAATACGTTTACAAAGTTTACACACGTGATGGAATTGGTTAAACAGATTTCAAATATGATCTTAAGATAAGGATGTTTTCTGTGGATGATCAATAATCTCAGTAAAGTCGGTTGTTTATATTGACAGAAGTAGAACACAGTAACACTGACACACAGACAATTTCCAGCTGATAATTCCTATGAGAATAAAGGATTGCTATATAATGACATCAATAACAAATCATAGTTTGTTCGGTGACCAGGGCTAATTTGAACAATTTTAAGCTTATTATATATAACCAATTCTCATGTGATGTTTTATGTTAGTCATGACAATTTCCTGCGTTTACCAATATGCCATGTTTCTTTTCAAAGAAAGTTCTACTTTGTCAAACAATATGTAATTATTTTGAGTAGAAGTCAGACTATGTTATTATCTTTCAGTTGAGTGATGTATTATCTGGTGGCGCCACGGTCTTTCCCAAACTAAAAGCAAGGGTTCAAGTAAAAAAGGTAACTCTATAATCTATACTAATATCTGTAACTGTCGTTTGTCTATCTGTTCAGAGTTAGCGGCTACACTAGGGCTGTCCCGAGGCTGAAATTTAGTGTATAGGGGTAGCTCGGAGCGGGGAGTAAAATAGGTCCGATGGCGTTAGCCTACCGTTTCCAGTTTCGGAGTTATAGGCCCAATCCGTGCAGCGACTGGTCATCCGCTAGTATTGATATGAAATCAAAATAAATCTAAAGGACGAGTGTATGCCTGTATTACCAATGGATATAGAGAGCCGTGGTGGTTCAGTGTGAATGGCGCTTGCTAAGTAACCAGGAGGTCCAAGGTTTGATACCGGTGTTGACCGAAAAAGCTTCGGGACTTTCCTTACAGCAGCCCCTCATTGTCAGTGGTGCAGGACGGGAGTCGTTCGGATGGCACGAAAACTCATAAATGAACCATTCACAGTTCGAAATCTGTCCGGGCAAACGGGACGAGAAATACTATTTATAGAAGGAGATTCTGGTAACCTGTTATTGCACTTATATAACGTTAAAATTAAATCTACACCCAGACAAACATTATTATCAGACTTTACATAATATATGAGGCTAATTCTTAGTAGTGGTAAGTTATTAAATGTGCCATTTTGTTTCAGGGTTCAGCAGCATTTTGGTTTAACACACATAGAAATGGTTTTCCTGATATGAGAACACTACACGCAGGTTGTCCTATTCTTGAGGGGGACAAGTGGGGTAAGTTTTAAATAACTTTAATATATTTCATGGAGCTACAGTATGGTGTCCAGTTTGATACTTGGGTTGGTATTCGGACATATTCTAGCAGGGATTCTCTTTGTCAGCGTTGCATGGCGGAGGGTCTGAAAAACGTCTATTCGGAAAACCAAGTACCATTAGCAGTACGTTAAAGACCCCTGAGAGTTAGAAATCGAAAATAAGAGTTAGCCGTAGTGACACTGTAAGGGCAATTTTCCCTAATAGCACAAATTAATGGCGTATATGTTGCTTTTTATGACAAAAAAAATAAAAATAAAACAAAAACATAACAGGCCGTGTCTAAACACACTGAAATCTTAATCAATATATGTATTCTATGTATATTTTTGTTTTTCTTGTAGTGGCAAATAAATGGTTGCGAAGTATTGGACAAACATTCAGGAGACCATGTGCATTAAATCCTAATTTATAATGAACTGTGTATTTGATAGCATTCAATGCTCGACTCCTGTTCAGCTTGTATGTTTACTTTGTTATTCTGAAGGATTATATGGCGTTTTAGCATGTTATTGCTTCCTTTTCTTCCAAGAGTGAAACACCAAGTGTTAATCTGATTAAAATAAAGATCTAAATTTAGATTCGTTTCTTTCAATGACCTCCCCGATCGATTTTCAGGAAGTTACGTCTGGGGTCATATAGGTGAATTTTGACTGGATGACGTAAGCTATCTATATTTATCTATTGTTCTCTCCTGGTCAGCAAATCTATTCATCTATGTCTCCCATAATTCAACGTTTTTCTAAACAGATGCGATCATTGGCTAATTACATATATAAAAGAAAATGCGCGGTTCATTAAAAATCCTTCCAGACCCCTACTGTCGTGAAGAGGAATGGAACGAAATTTGATCTATAAAACACAAAACGATATAGGATTTTAATTAGATCGATATACTGTTGAACCATTGCAGACAGTCTTTTCAACTTTATATCTGTAAGTCCTATAGATGTTTAATCATTAGTCAAATGTTTACAATTAATAGAAAGCAGGAAATGTGTGCAGGATTGACTTGTAAATTGATAATGAAATTAATACGAAGTGAATTATTGTAAATTGATAATGAAATTAATACGAAGTGAATTGTTGTAAATTGATAATGAAGTTAATACGAAGTGTCAAAGTATTAAATGATGTTAAAGCACCCATAGATCCATATAATTCTTAGCCGTAATCAAATATGAGCATTCATTAATTTCTTCTCCATCGTCTTGCCTCTTTCTGTGTGTGGTGCATACTTTCTTTGACATTTACAAATGCAGCAAACAAGAATTGTAATGGGCGAAAAACGACGGCTTGCTGTTGAATAGATACTATTGACAGACAAGTTGAAATTTGTCCGAAATGTCTATTAAACAGCTAATAATACGTACTTACCAATATTACAAGAGTGGGGTATTAGTAATTAATAAATTAAATTCAATCTGATTAAAACACAGATCCTATTTCATTTCATTTTTTATAGTTTAAAATTTCGTTTTACTTGTCTTTACTATACTAAGATCTGGACGAGTTATTACATAACCCACGTTCTGGTTGATGTTAGGGATTTGCCAATGCAACGGTCTGTTTCGCCGAGTGCTTGGCTTGCGGTGCACGGAACTGTGGGTAGAAACATCAATACTGATTGCTCAGACTAACGTAATTGGGTCAAAAGCAGCTCGTATAACAGCTTACGCGACTTCCCACTACAAATGGTCAGATCTTCGTGTAGTGCAGGCCATCGATAGTATAACAAACGAAACGAAATATAGATCTGTTTTTTAATCAGATTGAAGTAAATTGTGTAGTTTGTGATGGTGTATCTGTCCTTTTTTGATCTTCTCAAGTGTTACAGTATATTGTTAAAATGTATAGTATTAATACAGTGTATATATATAGCGACCGTGGCGTGCAGAGGATTGGTTATGTCCGGGACCAATTCCATGATAGTATACCCCCAACATTCAAGTACAGGACCTAAAAGTTAGAAAGACATTTTAAATAAACAGATGAAATAAATGAGTTATTCAAATTCTGTACGTTAGTTTGTACGAAGTTAAGATTATTTATTTTCGCTCTTTCATTGTATGACCACTGAAATGCATGCCCAGGGTCGTCGCTCTCTCCATCGTCTCTACACGCCACTGGTTAACGACTTTTGAAACTAACCATTCCATGTTTCGGTTACCTAATTCCGTAGGTTGGAAGGAAACGCTACTTTAACATTATCAGTATTACATCCATGTTAAATCTAAGTGTAAACTATATTTTGATTGATTTGTAATTGAATTATGTATTGTTTTTGTTATCTTCAATTGCTTGCTGGCTTAGCGGAATGGTTTAATTACTTTATTTTGGCATGATTATTGTTTTCAATGACATGATTATTGTTTTCAATGACATGATTATTGTTTTCAATGACATGATTATTTTTATGGAAATAGTTGTTTTGATTGAAATTGATGCAAAGTTAGAGTATGCAAATGGTTATTTTGATCGAAATGTTTTTTTTTTTTTACTGAAATAGTTGTTATGATTGGAATTATTGTTTTCATTGAAATGTTTTTTTTGTTTTAAATAGTTGTTTTGATTGAAATTAGTTGATTATTACAGTATAAAAGACACCGAAGCAAAGATTTTGCCAATCTTTTATGATATGTAGGTACATTTGTTAATGAGGTTTATATGATATATAGGTACAATCCGATTAAAACACAGATCCTATTTCGTTTCGTTTTTTATAGTTCAAAATTTCGTTTTACTTGTATTTACTACACTAGGATCTGGACGAGTTATATTACCGGCGTTCTGGTTGAAGTGAGGGATTAGCCAATGAAACGGTCTGTTGCGGCGAGTTCTTGGCGTGCGATATACGGAACTGTGGGTAAACCACTAGAAACGTCAACGCTGACATACCAGTACAAATGGACAGATCTTCATGTTGTGTAGGCCATCGAAAGTATATATATAAACAACGAAACGAAATATAGATCTGTATTCTAATCAGATTGATACAGGTATTATTAGCACATGGCTTAATTATGTAAGTAATATATATATATATATATATATATTGTCATCAGTGGGCGTATTTGTAATGCGGTTTATGTAATATGCCTGTATTAATAATCAATATGTACGTCTCTTAACGTGGTCATATAATATACATAGTGTTATCAATATGTGCAGTTGTTATCGTGGTTTATGTAAGATAATCTAGCGCTGCGCATGTACCCGTTACAATTTAAAAAAAAAAATCCAATCTGTTTAGACTCAAACTGATGAGAATATTGAGTTACCGATATTTTGCGAAGACGCTATGGTGGTCTGTTAAATCTAATATTCTTTTATTAGAGTGCAACGTGTGGGTTTTTATTAAATTCGGTACAGACATGAATGTGCATGCTATATAATATGGGTGTCTCTAAATTATTGTTATTTATGTAATGTATATAAATGTATATAAGAAAACCGTATGTAAATTATTGAACTATGTAAGATATAAACATAAATTCAATTATGCAAATACCCGATATGCATTATATGAAATAAAGTATATATTATTATTCAGGAATAGTTAATATGTTAGATAATATTATGTTATTTTCCGGTAAACATCGTCGGGACATATACCGCCAAACGTCACACTTAGAACAGGGAGACACCATCACACAATGAACTGGAAACCTCGAAGACAAACATTCTATCAAGTAAAGTAAATAGATCCGTCGCAGTCATATCCAGATTATCGTGCTATTCGTCATGGCATCGGGGTATTATTCACGTATTACCATAAGGGGGTTTGGGATTGTACAAAATTCATATGTAGTTGTAGTGGTAGTTGTGAAGATGCGGCACCGCAAAAATTATACGTTTTGGACTTTATCTCTTTTCATACCATCAGGCAGACCCTCTTGGTAACTGTAATGCTACTGAGATTGTGGACAAATTGGAAATTTGGTTTACTATTAGACTGGAAGTACTAAACAATTACATGGGGTTTAGACTCGATTGTCGAGTAATTCGACAGTTGCTGTTTCTTATTTACTAAGAGTCGACCATTAAGTAAGAGGTTAGCAGATATTTGACGAAATGTATGCATCACTGATATGATTTCACCGTCATCGTTAGCCCGATCGATGCAGAACAGTGGGACGTTTAACACCATTTCATTCATTTTTATTTCATATAATATTCAACTGGGATGGTAGCTAGACGACTGATTAGGGAGGGAGAGGGAGAAACGGGGTAAAAGGTCCGATCTATGCAGAACAGTGGGACATCATCTCATTCATTTCTATTTCATATGATATTTAACTGAGATGGTAGCGATTAGGGAGGGAGAGAGGAAGATATAGGGTAAAACGTCCACTCGACACAAACAATGTCACTTGGGGACTAACATATGGTTCAATTTTTTATTTGAATAATTTGCTTGCACAAAGGGGTCTTTAGCAGTGGGAAGAAACCGGAAGACCCGGAGAAAACTCACGAAGTTGACAGGCGACCCCACCCCTTGTTACGTAGAACCTGGGAATCGAAACCACTCAATGACAGATCTCATAATTCAACGCCCACGCGTCAACCATTCGACATAGGTCATAGTCATGTTCTATTTTCACAAAGAAGTAAAAACGTATGATGATAATTTTTATTTATTTCAACATAACCACTTTCCAGTACCACGGCTTATACCATGGTGTCATCACCATCATGTACATCTAACCAAAATATATCATTGTCTGTATTTCCACTTTTTTCTACTTTAGCTGTCTCCCCCTTTTTCTCACCCTTCACATCTGAAAATACATTAACAGTATATAATGATAACAAATAACTTTACATACCGATATTAGCTCAATCTAAACACAGTTTTATTAGATATACGTTCCGTGTGGCTTTAATAATGGTAATAAACGTCTACAAAGATTGATCTTTGCATGTTTGTATTTATAATTCCGACCTTTACTTTACTTTAAGTATACTGCAAAAGCACAGTTTTCCGTAACTTCACATCTATCCGATCAGGAAATTGCTTTCATCGGAGTACTATGAAATGGCTAGTATGACTGATTTCGGTTTAATTGAAAACAAAAAGCCAAGCTAAATCATATTTTAAAATTAAATAAGTAGACACGTTTTTAGACGAAGCATTGTCGACAACGCAAATATATGGACATTTTATCAGGGGTTATTTCAGACCTCAGTAATTGCTGCCCTATTACATGGGCCAGGGTACCAAAATATAGGGGGGTCGGGGGTGTTTAGAGCGCCTCTAGCATTTCAAATTCCAACATAAAACCCTTTAAAATACATGATAATGAAAAAGACAAAAGCCTGATTATTCACAATTTTCGTATCATGAGCAATTCATATCTTAAAAAATTATTTTTAATTTGACATTCAATACTCCAATCTTCATCAAGAAAATAGAATAAGCTTTTTGAACGAGACAGTGGATTTAGAGATACGATTCTTGCAAGAGCTCATATTCAGGAGCAAGTGTTGACGAGACACTATAATGAGACTATAATCGACCGAAATAATTGATGCGCTGATCAGAGAGCAATTACATATCTATCATTTAAAAATGAATAGACTAGTAAAAAGGTTGAAAACGTTCATCATTAGGGCATGGGTTTATATATATACCCAATAAAAGGGCAAGGTACCATTTGTATACCCTGGTACCCGGGTTCCGGCGCCCCTGCCTATTACATATTTGAAAGTTATTTAACTGAACCCTTTATAAGTTTGGTTGGACAATATATGTTTATGTTTTCTCAAGTGGACTTTCGTACAACGGTTATTGGTGTCTCGTTTATAATATATGTTTATAGTACAGCCCTAAGTGACCCAATATCCCAAACTGAAAAACAAAGCTAATACAATTCCGTAAATATTAAACAGTAGTCATATTTAAAAAACAAACATGTTGCTCTAAACATTACAGTCAGTATTAGATATAATCAAGGTGGTCAACAAGCTATTGTGGCTTAAAGGTATATCGAAGAAAAGGTATAAAGGTATAAAACAGTAATATGAAATCTACCAATTCCAGCTTAAGTTATGGCCAGCTACACTTCCCGTTACTTTCTATTGATTTCATGACGTAATAACCCCAGTTAACTAGAGAAGAATAACCCTTCTATCCATGAACCTCAAGATGAAGATGCATCTTATCTGGGTTTCTTGATTTAATCCAAGCTTTAACATTCAGCAATTCGGCTGTTGTTTGTTTGTTAAATTCATACAAGAGCGCCACCGAGCAGCACACCGTTGATGAAGTGCAGTTACATTAAACCCGATCATACTTGATCATTACTTGATCTTGTCATAGAATACGAAACTAAGGACACAAAGTAGACTGGATAAATATCATGACCTTAGTCGTGTTTGATTGATATGTACGCCAAATCTGGATTATATTATTTACAGAGAGTCATAGTTACTCGGTGAGTATAGCGCAATCTCACTGAAAAAGACTGTCTCCTGTTCGACCCCGTGGTTGGCAGAGAAAGATATTTGGGATTCTCCAGCCTGGTTTCCCATGGTGGTGGCGGAAAAAAAACGTCCGGATAGGACAAAAAACGAGGTCATGTGTATACCGTTGGTTGGAAATCGAATTAGAGAAGGCCGTAGCAAAATATACATCATAGCACAATGATTGATATATGGCCGCCTTGGTCAGCGCAGTTGGTGCTGAAAAGTAAGATATTAAACCTCATTTCATTCGGGAATCTGCGAGCCGTTTCATTTTTCATCTTAGAGTTTAATGCCACTTAAGAAATTTCATGTCAAATTATACCCTTAAAATTCGCAATATATAATATCGATTCAGGATTCAGAAAATGGATCGGATTCACATCAAACAATCACATCACTCAGGCGATACGTTTCAAGTCAGTAGCTTGAAGCGTATATATGGTATTAGTGTCAGTGGCCTGTGGCACGAAGTAACAGTATATTGTCGCATACATAATATATTATGTCAACGCTTGGGCGATATAATATATTATGTCAACGCTTGGAACTAGGATGGAGGTGACTAGGCATGAACTTGCAACGATAGATTTAATTGGCGCTTTGATAACCAATGAATGCTTTGGAGACATATTTTGGCGGTATTTTCCATCATGGAATCGGTAAGTTTCGATTGTTTTTTTCTTTTCTGTTTTTTCTCTCTTTTCTGTGTCCTAACCCTAACCCTAACCCTAATCCGAAAGAAAAGTGCCCTTTTTTGAAATTCTGACATCACAGGTGCCCTTTTTCTGATAAGGATGCCCTCTTTTATTTACAGGGACACTTTCTATTGTTAAGGGGGTGGACCGGTCCCCATGGTCCAACCCCTGGATCCGCTCTGATGACGCGTACATTCCACTGAGTCTACAGGTCTAATATGCTAACACGCTTGGAGCGTCAACACAATATATTATGTCGCTCAAGCGTTGACATAATATATTATGTATGCGACAATATACTGTTACTTCGTGCCACAAGCCACTGACACTAATACCATATATACGCTTCAAGCTACTGACTTGAAACGTGCAGGGTGCATCACTAGACTATTTTGCCTGTAATACGAACCTAATGGTAATCAAAAATCAATATATCAAGACAAAGCCAGTTTTCTTCATCATTAATTTATATACAACACGATACCACTACAAAATTAGATTTTTACAATTTTCTTTTGCGCAGTCTCAAAACTAGGTTGCACACAGAAGAATGTATCAGTCAAGGCATTCGGCCTTCTTACTCCGGTTTCCGAATCCTCGGTCAAATTTGATGTCAGACAGGCGACACTACCCTTTATAATCTACCTAAAGCATCCTCTCAAGGTGTCCGTCCAGATATAAATTTTGTAATATAAAATTATTCTCCATTGAAAAGTTATATTCAGGTAGCTGTCCGCCAAGTAAACAAATCTGTCAAGTTTCTTGTCCAGAGAGTTTGTCTATGGGTTTCTGTTGTTTTGTGCGGTATAACTACAAACACTTACTATAAGACTATAGGCAACAGCGTTTAATTCTGTTATTGTCCTTGACCACGATTGACGATGTTCTGAAAGTAGGGCCACAAGAAATTCTATAACCTAATTTGTCTAATCCAGCAGGGGACGGGGCCTAAATTTAGTTTTCTTATATAGTCTCTTTCAAAATTGATCGGCAAAATAATAAGTGTAAACTGTCACTATTCATCTATAATTACATACAATAGGGTCAGTGAAGTCCGACACTTCACACTCAAGACGGAGCTTCGATCAGAATATGGATCAAAGACCTACAAACTCCATGGTTCGATGTCCATGTTGGGGGCATTGGTACCAGATGTTCATAAAAGTGTTAGCACACACTACCCTGTGTGCGATACCTGATATTTCTCGCTCTTTTACTAACACATCTACACAAACACCGCAATACTTGCGAAGTTCGAAAAAATTCAAATAAGATTTGGCAGATGTGGTAGTCGAGCGGCGAGGGTAACGGTTTCCAGGTCAGAATTCCATGGAACGAGAAGAACAGCACGGGATGGCTTACAAAGAAAGTGTATTTAGTCGTTCGGATGGTATCATTAGTTGTACGCGTAAAGGAAGCATTGACAAAGAAAGTGTATTGAATCGTTCGGATGGTATTATAAGTTGTCGTACCCTTGACAGTTAAAAAACGTTGTGCCAAGATTACACACATTATAATCAAAGAATACAAAAGTCAAAATGTGGATCAAAATGACCGAAGTAAGTGTCGACTACTTTCCAGTTCATGCATTATACATTTCCCTTGACATACAACGGTGTTTTTTTTAAATCAATATTTTAAGAGGTGGTTAAATGCATATCATGATATATAATTATGCACAGTCGTTTTAATCAATAAATATCTTCAATAATGGTATTCTAATCAATAGAATAACGGATATCGTAGATCTAGGTCTGTATGTAGATATTTGGGTACACTGAAGTAAGGATACCGTAATAATCGATTGGTACCATTGTTATTATAATAACGGTATATGTATTGTCTTGTACATTCTAGTCTATTTTTACATATTGTACGGCGATCATTGAATACATTACTATTATATACACAAGGGTTCATTTTCTTTATATTTTCACACTGTAAGTAAAGAAACAGTTTCTAATTCTAACTCAGCAAACAAAATGAATTAAACACGTTAGAACACATAATAAACAAAGATGTATTCGTTAAATAAAATTTCAATTTCTGCATTCCATTGATGAAATCCCAGATTATTATCTAAATTGTACATATGTTAATTATGTTGCAAGTTGCAAATCTCATAATGACTCATCCTGAGCAAATCTCTTAATTACTCATTCTTTACAGGCGCTTTTATATAAGCTGATATTAAATCAATTCTCAACATTAGGTCATATCCGTTAGATATTATGGAAGGGTATCGCTGCCAATATTAAATGCTCTGCTAAAATGATGTTTCCGTCGAATATATGTAAAAAGTAAAATGTACAAAGTCCTAATACCGGTAATGATAAAGTCAAAATTCCTTTAAGGCAAGAGTTAAATATAAAAAGTCAAATGTTAAGTGTCAAATGACAAATGTTTTGTGGGAAAATCCTTAACATCCCCAATCCAACCTAGCATTTGGCTTAGAAAAGTGGACGATGTGTTGGCTGTAATGAAGGAAGAGGAAAACACCAACTACTAATCCACCACCTCAACTCCATACATCCAAGAATACAATTTACAGTTGAAGAAGAAAATAATAAACAGCTACCCTTTTTAGATATCCTAATTGACAGAAATGATGATAAAGT